TTTCCCTAATAGGTTAAAACAGACTCTCGTGCTCGCCGAAATAGCTCAGTTGGGAGAGCGTTAGACTGAAGATCTAAAGGTCCCTGGTTCGATCCCGGGTTTCGGCAGGCCTTTTGTTTGCACACCTACCCGCCCACACCCTGGCCCACTACCCCACGTGTCTTTTAGCGGCCACAGACGAAGCAGGCGACGGTATGAGGCAGTTTTCAAAAACAGGTCTGCACAGCAAGACCCTGCAACTCAGGGTCCCCCGGGAGCGTCCGGTGAAGGGGGAGACCCAGCTGGAGACTGGGCTACACCGGGTCTGATCTAGTTTTTGGAACCTCACTCTCCGCGTCGGGTGTTTAATGAAAGAACCGCTCCAGGCCACACGCTTCACAACCACTGCCAGAAGCTTTACTATCAGGACGCTGACGGCCGGGGGGCATTTTCTTTGCTGTGACTGATGGAGTTTTGACCATAAAAGTAACACCTGTGTGCGTTAAGAAGGGTATCCGCGGACCGAGCAGTACCTGAAGATAGGGGGGAGAAAGTCACTGCGCACACTTTCACTTTTTGAGCGACCGGTCGGCCGGGGTGTGTGTGGCTGGCGCCCCGAGTTGTCAGGGAGCCCCCCCTTCACGTGGGGGGTAACTTCCGTTCGCTCCGAGAGTTTATAAATATTCCCAAGTGCAATTTGAAATTTAAAAGAACCTGCGCCCGAACAGGGACTTGAACCCTGGACCCTCAGATTAAAAGTCTGATGCTCTACCGACTGAGCTATCCGGGCCCTTGCAGGCGGTGCTCCCCGGAGCCTATCCGCAGTAAAACTAACCAAGTGATCGCACTTTAGCCTTCAAGGATCAAAATTCTGACTCTTTGGTGAGTCGCTGACAGGTGAAACCGCAAAAATCAAAATCGAGCCAGGGGGTGGACGGAATAGTCATTGTTTCTCTTTTTTCCACCGTCGAGGCAAAGCCGCCGGTCTGACTTGCCTGACACCTGGCGGTACCCCCAACCCCGGAGCCCCAAAGGGTGCATCCCGCTGGGAATCTCCGGGTTTCGGCTCCCTGGGAGGACTTTCATCCTTCCAGCCCGGAGTGCTCAGAGGGTGGAAGATGAGTAATGCGTAATCAGGCTTCCAGTCTTTAGCCGACACGTTGCCGAGCACGCGGGGGTCCATGACTCCACTGGGTCCTGATGGGGCAGGGAGACCCGCAGGTCCAGGGCCTGGAACGTGACCGCACCTGCATTGGGATCTGCAAGACTCCACAACCCCAGAAAGTGTCCCCAGTCCTGCAGGGGGTGGACCTGTGACCAGGCCGAGAGAAAGACAACTCTGGGCCCAGGGACAGCCGACGGGAGTGACCTTCAGGGGATTTGGACATTTCCCGAAGCTTCCATCTGAAAGGTCTGCCCTTGCAAACTGCAGGCTGGATTTGAGTTAGGAGATCCCGTTGTCCTGACAGCTCTGCCCTGACCAGGAAGGTCGTGTTTTCAGTGGGAAGATCGCCCACAGAAGAGAACGCTATGGGGAGCACGCAGGCAGCCGCGGGATCCCTCCCCCCGGCCCAGACCCCTCACTATTTCTCTTTTATGGGGAAATGAAGAGGAAGCGAAGGACAACATAAAAAAAAATTCCTTTATGGAAAGATAGCCATGTTATGTCAAACAAAACCAACCAGAGAGAGGTTGGAGATGTTTGGTGCCACGCTTCTTTGAGAAAAAATTAAAGGAGATGTATGAAGATGCCTTTAATCATATTTATTGGGAGATTTGGTGCTTGCCTGAACAGAAGGGACTTTTCAGGACAGAAAACAGTATGATTAAAATGGCTACCGAGGCCGGTGTCACTGGAGCGTGTGAGAGGCTACCTTCACCTTTCCTGTAGGTCCCAGTCATTATTGCATGACACACAACAAGCATGTCTTCTTTTTTTGCATGTCTTCTTTTTTAATGAATTTTAAAAAAAGACAAAAAACTAGTCTGTTAGGTTATCCCACTCAGCGGGGTCATGTAGGCAGAACCCTGCACCCCTACTTTCTCCAGATCCCAGCACAGAGATGACAAGAACAAAATCCCTTCCCTGTTGGGTTCCCCCCCCAAACCCCCATGTCCAATGGTTTCGCAGGGGAGATGTTTGTATAGAAAAATCACACATGAATTTGGTGTTTTTTTTTTTTAAACGTTTTAAGTTTATAGGTACGGTCTTCACATATGGAAACATGGGTATTTCAGACAACAAGTTTGTTGAAAACTAAGAACGTGAAAATTAAAAACTGAAGCCAGGTGCTGGGGGGAGGAGCCACCTGCCCGGCTTGGGCTGTGCAAGGGGAGCCAGTGGCTTGGGGCTTAGCTTTGACTAATGCCATAGGGCTGGGTTCCCGCCCCCCAGGACTGCTTGGGATACCTGGACAACACACCTAGGTGTTCTCGAGGACAGACTTGATGGTCAGGCACAGAGGGCGAGCATAAACGGGGTCACCAGTGGTAAGAGCGAGACCCAGGCCTGCTTGGCACAGAGTGGATCGGAGTTGCAGGGATTTCATTTAACAGCTGGGAAGTTTTTGTTCAGCAGAGAGAGGGGGACATCATATAGGGTGAATGGTTTCCATAATCAGATGGAATAACTCCGGCCTGAGAAAGGGCCGCATCGCCTTCCCCGCCACCTGCTTTGTTTTTACGTCCCTTTTCCACGCCTGAACTTGGGTTCACTTGCTTGTGAATATTCGCTTCTCAGGACTCCGTCGGGCAAACGCCTCTGGGCTGTAATCTAGGTAAGACGCAGCCTTGTTTTCTGTAGCTGGAGGTTCACTTTTGCTTTTACAAATTTAAGTGCTAACAAAAACGCGAAGTCTCTGCATTCCCACAACCGAACTGGGATCGCGGCCTCAAGTCAGCATTAAAAAAATGCCGGGCATTTTAACTGCACCGGCGCCCCCTTCCCTCCACCACGAACGTCTTTCCACAAAGCAGCGATCTGACGGTGTTGCTACATTTTCTGGATCTGGCATTTTAAACGGGATTGAACGATGTCGGTTTGGAAAAGTGGGGTACACCCCCAGCAGAGGCGGGGTCCGAACCCACAAGGGCGCAGACCCACCGCACTAGAGCTCAGAGCCTAAGCCCGCCAGCCGACACGGGGCCTTGCTTTGAGCATTTTGTACTCCGGCACGACGCGGAGTTAACTGAAGTTTCAGGACAAATTGGCTTTGCTTCACGAAGTGAAAGAACAGCACGGAGCGAAAGCTCAGCCCTTTCTTGCAAACCTCTGCATCTCTTCACCGTGAACTCCGGGCCACCCGGCATCTGCACGGCTCAGGCAGCGGGGTTCCCAGCGGCTCCCCGAGGAAGGGCGCCCCCAAGCCTGAGAAAGGAGACCCCCGTGTCCCCAAGGCGGGCGCATCCGTCCAGCGCATCCTCCGTCCGCTCTTCTCCTTGTCCAAAACAAAAGCGACTCTGGTGGGACTCGAACCCACAACCTTTGAATGCCTCCAACGGTCTAGAAGTCCAATGCGCTATCCATTGCGCCACAGAGCCCGGCGCCAACGACCCTCCGCGCCGCTTACATCAAGGCAGCGCCAGGCGTGTCCGCCGCCTGCAGCCGGAGGAACCGCGCGCCCGCTGTGCCGGCGCGTGCACGGAGTCGCTCTTGAACGGCGGAAAGGCTTCTCCACGCTTCTCTAGGAGAGCGACGCCCAGGGTCACAGCGCACGCTCGTTCCGCGTGTGGGAGCGGAGACGCCTTTGTGTAGAGTTATGGCGGCCCGGCGGCCTCCGCCAGCGTCGGGTTCCATAGTGTAGCGGTTATCACGTCTGCTTTACACGCAGAAGGTCCTGGGTTCGAGCCCCAGTGGAACCACGAGGGTCCGCCCTCCGTTTTGCGTTTTATATTAAATTTAGGCCAGGTTTTATTTTTGTGAGCTCGAGCCTGCGTATTCCTTCGAGAAGGGGAAACGCCGGGTTCTCGGGGCGCCGTGACTCTCCCGACTCGCCCGCCGCGCGGCGGGGCTCAGCGACTGCGAGGAGCCGCAGCCGAGGCTGCCCCCGTGTGGCCCCTCGGGTTTGTGCAGGCGCTCGGCGGTCCCCGCCTCCGCGCGGGGGTCCTCCCCACCCTCCTGCCTAGCGGAACCCAGGGGGGCAGGGCCCGAGCCCCTCCGCGCGCCCCTGCCGCCCTGCTGACGTTGTCTTTGAAAGTTGCTGACGCCTTTCCGGAGAGGAACTTAAAGGTCACCCAGCTTGCTGTTTAACGTCGCACCATCAAAATTAAAAGAACCTTCTGAGAAATTAATTGTGCGCACCTGGTAAAAGAAGTCAGCCAGCGCTACATGTTTTTACAGTGGAAATTTTCTCCTGGGCCAAACGCTAGGGGCTGCTCTGAGGACCCCTGTCCTCGGGCTGGTCACCTCGGCCCCTAAAGACCCGACAGCGGCCCTGATCATTCTAACGGCTCCAGGTGCAGCCACCAACGTGCCTGCCTGAGAAATCTGGGGGCCTCTTGGCGTGACTTTCTGGACCCTGGGCTGGGGCTTGACCTCTCGATGCTACTACCTTTTTCTCCTCTGCAATTCTAGCTTGCCCAGACTCGCTATGTATGAGAAGATGTCACAGGAACGACTGTTTTCCTATCACAGGACTGCTGTTACAGGACAGAAGGAACATTTGGGGGCCTTCCTGGTGGTGCTAGGGTTAAGTCCCAGCACTGTGAGGCTGTCCCCAGCAACAGCGGCAGGAGTTCAACCCGAGTTCGAGTTCGGCCAGGGTGCTGACCCACAGGGCACACAGACCTCTTCTGTCTCCGGCGGCTGCTCCCCTCGGCAGTGTGTTTCAGTGATCTGCCTGTTCTGCCCCCTCTTCTGTCTCTGGTGAATCCTCCCACCCCCTGCATCTCTGGTCTACACTCTAGCATAATAATTAAAAAGGGGGAGCATTTGGGATTCTAGATGTCTATTCATTGGGGCTTTCTATCATGCAGTAAGGAAATATTTTTCAGTTTTGACCTCCAGTCTGGGTTTCTAACCCCTATTCCTTCTCAGCAGGCCCGAGTCGTCTCTTCAGCCGCTTCATGGCCGACTTCATCTCCTGGTTCCTCAGGGTGTAGATCACCGGGTTCAGCAGCGGGGAGATGACCGTGAAGGTGACGGAGATGACCTTGTCAGAGGGGAGGGCAGCGAAGGGCCGCGCATAGACATAGATGCAGGGCACGAAGTGCAGGGTGACCACCGTGATGTGGGCGGTGCAGGTGGAGACGGCTTTCCTCCTGCCCTCCCCGGCCTGCGACCTCAGTAAGGCCAGGATGACCGCGTAGGACGCCAGGAGGAGGAGGAACCACAGGATGGAGACCAGGCCATTGTTGGAAATCATGAGGAGCTCGATGACAAAGGTGTCCGTGCAGGCCAGCTTGAGGACCTGAGGGACGTCACAGTAGAAGCCGTCAACAACGTTGGGCCCGCAGAAGGGGAGCCGGAGCAACAGGGAAATCTGCACCACGGAATGGACAAAGCCCCCCACCCAGGAGGCCACAATGAGGGCTGAGCAGCGCCCCCTGCTCATGATGGTGACGTAGTGGAGGGGCTTGGAGATGGCCATGTAGCGGTCCAAGGCCATGACAGAGAGAGAAAAAATGTCTGCTCCACCGAGGAGGTGGAAGAAGAAGATCTGGGTCATGCAGCCATTGAAGGAGATGGTCTTCCTCCTGGCCAGCAGGTCCACGAGGACCTTGGGGGCAGTGATGGAGGAGAAGCAGATGTCCAGGACAGAGAGATTGCGCAGCAGGAAGTACATGGGGGTGTGCAGGCGAGCCTCGTAGGTCACGGTGACCATGATGAGCAGGTTTCCCATCAGGATGGCTGTGTACACCAAGAATAAGAAAAGAAATAAGACCAGGCTCAGCTCCCAGGTCTGGGTCAGTCCTTGAAAAATAAATTCTTTCACCCTTGTGTAATTTGCCTGCTCCATTGGGTCATGGTTCTTTTACACCAGCTACCTGGGGAGAGAAGACTTTTGTTACAGAGAACATATTAAAACAGGGCCCTCCCTGCTGGTGCAACAGGTTTAAGCACAGTACTACAAAGTCAGCTGCAGCTGCTTCAGCACCAGTTCAATCCCCGGCCAGGGAGTGACCCACGTGGCCCAGCAGATCTCTCCTGTCTCCTTGCTGCTCCCCTCAGCTGTGTACTTCATCAGTCTGCCTGTTCTGCTCCCTGCTGTGTCCGATGGATCCTCTCACCTCCCCAATACCTCTGGCCTGTACCCCAATTCTGCATGCATGAATAAATAAATCTTAAAAAAATATATAATCTTAAAAAAAAAAAGAGGAAAACAAAGCATATGAAAACAAGAAAATTGGGAGTTAGATGATTGGGTGTGCTTTGGAGGTTATTCCAGTAGGTGTTTTCTTTTTGAGTTACCCTGAATCACCCTGACTTATCCTGAGTTACCCCATCAATGTAAGTTTCCATGGGCGCAGTGAACTGCAGCCTAAATCAGTGTGTCCATAAAATTCTCCCTAAAACATTTTACATTTACATAATTTGGCATGCTCCTCATCCTTCTTGAAAATCCATAATTGCTCTGACAAGTGAACAGACTAGATTTTCTTTCAGTGAGTGAATATTCATGTGTCTAATTGTTAGAAAGTGGAAACGGAGGGCGGGGGTGGGGGGAGCAGAAAACACAGTTGGTGGCTTCTGGGAGCTTCTAACTTCTCTGTCCTCATTTGCAGTAATCATGGCTAGTTGTCTTAGCCTGGTCAGAGTTTGACGATTCCAGGCGGTTGACATTAAGTTGAGAAAATCCCCCAGCCAAACAGCTTGCTGTTTATTTACCCCGGGACGACCAGCTTTGCAGCAGCTGAGATCATTTGAGCCCATTCCTGACCTTTCTATTTCACTCTGTTCTTTGATGCCTCATTATGTTTTTAACAAGGTGGGGCTTGGCAGCTTTTCTGTTGTCTCTGCTTCTTAACATGCTCTTAGCCAGGATTTTATCACTCAGGCCACTGCACAATGGTTTCTTCCCTCAGCTCCCTTTTCGTCCCATCATGTACATTAACATCTGTCACTTCACTGGTAGGTGACAGAGTGTCAGTTTGTCATGAGTAAAAAAGTATGTGATTGTGTTTGTTTCGCTGGGCTGTGAAGTTTGAAGAGGCTCGTTTCATTTATTTGGCTTGAGTTCACTGCAGGCCACCCCCAGCCCCGTGATGCCTTTGATAGTCCACAGGACTGGTAAAAATACACCGTATTTGTGCTTTTCCTACAACATAGCATCCTTTGAAATGACCGCAACTATTATCCAATCTCACCTTTAAAAAGTAGATGTGTTCCAACCATAGACCAGAGACATTCTGTGGGGGTGGAGTGGGGAATGGGATCAAAAACGGGGGGGGGG